CATTACACAGCCTTTCTAATAAATTCTTTTTTCACATAAATGAGGAGTTAATGCAGTCATAATGAGTGTGTGTATACAGGGGTTAGACAAACTGAAACACCTCGTTTTAGACCATAACATCCCTTTCAGACAGCTTCCTCTTGCGTCCACAGTTAATCCTGTTGGATGTGGTMVYTCCTTCTTGGTGGTATGCTGACATTACCCTGGATACTGTGGCTCTTGATACATCACAAAGACTTGCTGTCTTGGTCACAGATGCACCANGGTTGGTCCTTCTTGGTGGTATGCTGACATTACCCTGGATACTGTGGCTCTTGATACATCACAAAGACTTGCTGTCTTGGTCACAGATGCACCAACAAGACGTGCACCAACAATTTGTCCTCTTTTGTACTCTGGTATGTTGCCCATAATGTTGTGTGCATTGCAATATTTTGAGCAAAACTGTGCTCTTTTGCTGCTAATTGAACCTTCACACTCTGCTCTAACTCGTGTTAATGAAGACTGGTCACCAGGCTGGTCCAATTTAGCCATGAAACCTCCCACACTACAATGACAGGTGTTTCAGTTTCATTGTCCAACCCCTGTATATATAAATAAATAAACATGCTGGGATTCAGCTAAATTCTAATAGAAAAGTTCAGACTTAAGTGTGGTTTCGTGGAAAGGTTATGAACAGTTAATATCTAACCTGTTGCAGATGCTCTTAACAACCTCAGAAATAGTGTAACAATGACATGACGCTAACAGCTAGCATAAGTGGGGCCAAGACCAAAATGGTGTGCTCCTGCTAATCCTGTTAGTTGGTGGTTATTCCTTCATCTCTACGACTCTGGTGGAGCAACATGGAGGGGAATACACAAACTGTATACTGGCAGTAAATATGAGCTCTATCATCACATAGTTTTCACGTTATAGACCTCTTTTCTAATGATGCTACAATGGCAGGAACAGATGCTGGAACACTGACAAATAGTCTGTTTTCTTTTTTTTTTTTCCTTCTCTGGAGATGGGACAGGAGTTTGGTGTTGAGTTGGAAAAAAATAGTGTCCTGGCTGAAAAAGCAGTTAGGAAACAAACTGGCATGTCGCTATCAGGTGCAGGTCCAGAAAACAAAAATACTGTTCTTCCATTTCAAAAAGAAAAAATAATTAGGTCCTCTGGATGGGTTCTTCTTTAGTGAAACGTTTCATCTTTCCTCCACGAGCCTTCTTCAGTCTGATGAGTTTCAGGTGAACTCAGCCTTATAAGCACTGCCTCCACGTGGTGGACAAACAGGTTAGTCACATGCAAAAGAGGGCCATCGACTAGCTTGATTAGCTCTATTGTCCATGTAGGGTCATGTGCTCCATCACCTGACTATCGTTGGGGCCCTGATTCACACCTTTTGCTCACAGGGCACTGAGTCATACTTGCAATAACAGCATTAGGAGGAGAACAACTGGACACCAAGGCCTCCACCTCTTTAATGGTGGACGGTTTTTCTTCACAAAGATGGCTTCCTTTACTCCTCTCTCAAACCAACGTTCCTCTAACAAGGATGAGAACACCTTCATCCCTGAAAGAGTGACCGCTGGCCTGTAAATGAGTGTAAACTGCAGAGTCCTGACCCGACGAAGTAGCTCGTCTGTGCTGGCTCATTCTTTTGAACAGTGGCTGAACTGATCACAGTCCTCCTGACACTTAACAGCATTTAGTATATTACTCTGTTTTTGCTGGGGAACTGGATATTTGGGCTGAACCAATCTTTGTCATAACGTGTTTTGGGGTTTGAAAGCTACTGGGACGTCATGTTTAGAGAATAAACGTCTCAGTTTCTCTGAAACTCTCGCCAATTACGGAATGACGACTGGTTTGGGTCTGGGTTTAGGGTCTTCATTTTCAGCTGGTGGTTGGCTGGCATCCTGTTTGGGTTTCTTGTCTGCTTTCAGAAAAGCCCAGTCAGGATAACCACACTGCTCCTTCCATTTATACTTTTTGAGATATTTAGCTTTTTCTGCCATGTTTTTCCCTCATTGAAAACGAATGGAGTTTAAAACACTTTAAAGCAGTGGTCCCCAAACTACGGCCCACCTCCCCATTTGGTCTGGCCCCCAGAACAATACCAGAGAGCATTTAGGTTTTTTTTCATATATGTATATTTATATTTGATTATGAAGTTGGACTTTTGCAATAAAATGTTCCTTAGTTATGAACTATTTTCATTATTAACAATTATTAGTTAGTAACTATTTCATACATACACGCATATAACGTGACATTCTGTTCCACCCTTCTGCGGTCTGTGCCCCTATCTGGCAACCCCCAGAAAAAAATCCTAAACCCGCCCCTCTCAAAGAGAGAACGGAATAATGGCGAAAAGATTAGGTAAGAGAAAAATTGATTCAGAATACAGGGCATTTAAGCTGCATTGGACAAACCATTATTTTTTTGTTCAATGCAAAGAAAAGGCTGTCTGTCTCATCTGTCAAGAGGCGGTGGTGGTATTCAAAGAATATAATCTGCAGCAACACTATGAATCCCGTCACAAAGACAAGTATGATAGCTTGCAAGGCCAAATGTGAGCAAACAAACTCTCAAAGCTAAAAAGTGGACTGTTAGCTCAGCAGGATACATACTGTGAAGAACCCAGAGAGGCTTATTTGATTGTGCTTTCTGGAAAACAATAAATTTTGACATTTAGGCACTCCTGCAATAGTCACAGTTTTTCTGTTACAAACTGACTCCGGCCCCCCACCAGAGAAGGGAAAAATTATGTGGCCCTRACAGGAAAAAGTTTGGGGACCCCTGCTTTAAAGTGTTTATAAATCTTTACTGTAGTTTTTGCCTTTTGTTTTAGTTTGGCTTTTTTTTTTATATAACTCCTGTATACTTATTCAAGCTTCCTTTTGGCTTCTGTTTTGCTGATTTTAGCTGCTTTCTTGCTTTTTTAGTTATTCTGACCTTGTCTGCTATTCTTCTCCTAATTTGAACTTTTTGTTCTTCTTTCTGATTTATTATGCTTGTTGTGCATCTTTGAACTGTTTTCTGCTCATTTAAGCTGCTTTCTTGTTTTCAGCTACTTTTTAGCTAATTTGAGCCTTTTTCAGCTAAAATCACCTTTTGTGATAATTTCAGATTCTTACTGCTTAATTCAGCAAACATGCTCTTTCTGTTTTTGCTAATTTCAGCTATTTCAGCTACTATTTTAAAGCCATTTTTGGCTAGTTTTAGCTTTTTCAGTAAAGAACTTTCAGCATTAAGAATCCACACTGCATTTTTGCAAGAAATGCAAATTCTTTAGTTCGAATGAAATTTTATTTCACCAAACACAGTTTGTTCAGAGCCATCAGCAGCAGGTAAGATATTAGTTGTTTGTGATCATATCACACAACCCATTTTAAAAGATCTAAACCATCGTTTTAACACTTTTCTATTAGAATTTCTTCATGAATGTGATCATAACCATATTCGTGAACTGTCTAAAGATCAGTTTTTGTGGAACCAAAACAATTTCAACTACTGACTAAAAGTGTTGGAATTACAGTGCAACAGATTTTGGTGCATTCACAGCCTCACAATAAATGGGTTCAAAACCAAAACAACATGGACAAATCACATTTTCACACACAGATCTGCTAAAAATAATTTCCATTTTTCTACCTAAACTCCATACGGAGCTGAAATATACTTTCAAGTGCAGATTTGTTCCGTTCGGAAAGATAAAAATCACACAATACAATCAGAATGGATAAATAAACCAGCATAGTGCTACTTCATCTCGTTTCATCACACATAAAAATAAAACATTCATTGTTTTTGTTTTTCACACATCTGGATTGCCTAACGGGTTCAGTTCACTGAACTCAGTAGAAAATGTGCCGAACACGACTGGGACCAGCTTGTAGTTTGAGTGTTCACATTCCTGAGAAACAAACAGCAGCTTCCTGTGGTCACAAGTGAAAGCACAAGAGAAGTGAGAGGGGTTTCTGTGTTTTGATGAAAACTGGCCGATTACGGTTTCTGATGGAGATACTGGGATGTGAAGGTCAGGTTTGTTGTGGCAGTCGTTTGGCGTGGCCTTAATTTGAATCAAAGACTGTTTCAGTCACAAACTACTTGTTCACACTAGGGTTGGGCAATATTGGCAAAAAAATAATTACGATTAATTGTGGTATTTAGCCGATAACGATTAATTTGATGATTAATCCCCCAGAGTCCCTGGACACCCTTATATCCTAGTCACATGACCAATTTATAGGGAGAAAATTGGCTCTTCGTAAAAATCTGTTCCAAGTTGTGTCAAAATTACAGACTTCAGGCTGTACAACAAACTTTAAATTGTGTTGATAGATAAATAAATCACAATTTTTTTTAATGTTGGTCATATTTGAATCAGAGAGGAACACCAAGCGGTTAGTAGGGCTGTGTATTGGCAAGAATTTGGAGATACGATGCATATCATGACAGACGGGTCACGATACGATATATACCGATATATTGTGATACTGTAAGCAAGGTGATATATTGCGATATATTGCGATTTGTTTTGGTCCAAAAATTCTATTAATAAAAACCTCTTACTGGAAAAAAAATGAAAAACCAAAATTCATTGTCTCAGAAAATTCTATTACATAGACATGCGCTAGCCTTCTGTAATGTGAAGGCTGACTAAAGTTGGAAAAAAGAGCGAACAAGACACTTAATTTGTCTTAAAATACAGACATTCTGATAAATAACTGTTCGTAACCTTACCTCAGCTTAGAAGGCAGAGGGTGTCGGTCTTTTCTGCTCAGATTCAGCTATCGGAGCATGACGCTAATGTTTACTCACATTGCTAATGCTACCCTTACTCTCTGGCACTCAAGAGGTAGAGGAGCCAATGTCTGGCTCACTGCTGCCAACTAGTGGTCAGAGGCTGAACTACAACATAAAAATGAACGGCTGGCAGGAAAGTTGACATTTTAAACCTTAATTAAATATCGATACAGGACTTTAGAATATTGATACAGTAGCAGAAAATGAAATATTGCGATATTTCAGTGTATCGATATTTTCTTACACCCCTAGCGGTTAGTCTGCCAGGTGGCATTAATCGTGTTAATTGTCAACTGCCAAAAATTTATCGATTAATGTTTTTCTGACGATTAATTGCACACGATACGATTATGCCCAACCCTAGTTCACAGATCAATAAAGGACTTCACTTTCTTAGATTTCATGATCGTCGTGGTCACATTTCTCATCCGCACCAACATAACTACAGCTGTTATGATCTGTGAGCTATGTTTTGATAAAAAAGAAGGGGAAAAAAGCTTACAGTAGAGAGTTAAAATGTGCACGTACACCTTGAAAGATTTGTCTTGGAAGGTAAACAAGGATCAGTTTGGCACATCCGGCCTTTATCTGTAAACAAAAAACAAAAAAACGGGATTCTGATGGAAAAATTAAAATTAAAATCTTTCCTTCTCATCCTTTGGCAGTGGTGAGGTGGCATTTGGCCAAGGCAACAAGTCCAAAAAAAGTGCTAAATCTCAAGTAAATTGAGTCCGCTTGAACCGCAGCAGAGAGCAGCTCGGGTGCTGTCGACAAGTTCTCACGTAAAAATATTTCACCCTTTTTTTCATCCAAAGTGTTTTTTTTGCCCTTTACACTGTACACATTGCTATGAATATGGTCACAAATGTGCTCCTTAGTGTTTTACAAGAACATGCATATTAAGCAAACAATACTATCTGGAAAGAGGAGAGTGATAACTGAAGTGGCTCTGCATGTAGAAGTTAAAGTAAAGGAGGACTGCTGCTGCTGTGCGTGTGTGTGGGTGTGTGTGTGTGTGTGTGTAAGGTGGGGGGGGGGGTAAATCCATCTTTCAGGGTGAAAAGAGCAAAATATATCCAAGAGTCAGGTTTGACGGTAACTGTGGTGCATTTACTGTCACGAAGAAACGGGTCTCTTGCCATGTTCGAGAGGGAACGGGCCTGTCCAGGCGTGGCGGATCAGAAGCAGACTGAGCCCGAAGGCCCACGTGCGGACCGGAGACAGGAAAAAGGCCATGAGGCCGTAGGTCTCCAGGAGGAAGTAACAGGAGTGGGCCTGCCAGGTGAGGAGCAGCAGCATGAGGAAGTGGATCGCCAGCGGCCGCCAGTGACGGCCCGACCGCACAAAATGGGAACGGAAGCTGTTGCGGTGGTGACGGTGCAGCAGGCTCCAGCAGAGGTAAGAGGTGAGGGGGATGTTGAAGAAGAGCAACTGGCAGAAGAAACATGAGCAGCTTGGTTAGTTCGCAAACAAAACCGGACCCTGACAGTTGTTGAAAACATGAGCAAAGAATCCAAACATGATGTAATGTACAACAAAATTTATCAACAGATGTTTAAAGGGGCAATATTATGTGTTTCTCAGGCATATATTTAAATACTATACCATAATAAAGTATCTATGTCACCTTTAGTTGTTATTAAAATGCTGTTTTTATGTTTAAAC